GAAGCGCTTCCAAGAGGCAGCAACCCGTCGGTCAGTGTACAGACGGCGTCGGAGTACAGGGTCGGACGAAAACGTCGTCGTCGTGGTACGTCGGGCCCCAGCGGCGGTCGAAGGCCTCAAGCCAGGACAGGCATCGGTGACGGGCGTCGTCCGCTTTCGTGGTGAGGCGTCGGAAGAAGGCGTCCGTGACCATCACGCCCGCGGCGCCACGGTTGGCGCCGAGGGTGTCGTCAAGGCAGAAAGTGAGGGCATAGAAGCCGTATGCCACAGTGAGTCGTGTGGTCCGAGGCAGTGCACGTGGCAGGGAGCGCAGTGCTCGCGTGCGTATCTTGAGGCACTGGTCCGCATCAACGTGTCGGCCCAGGGTGGGCCCTTTTTCCGCAGCCGTTGGTGTTTCATGGAGGGCCGCAGGTCGGTGACCGACGTGGGCTGGATCAGGTATGCTGCGAGCGCCTAGCGCGGGACGGCGCGACGGCCTGGTCAGAGCGGCGGTCTCAGGCCTGGCGTGCGGTGGAGTCGCCGTCGCTGGCGGGACGGCCGGGTGGCCTCCGCCTCCGCCTCCTCCTCCTCCTCCTCCGCCTCCTCCTCCTGCTCCTCCTCCTCCTCCTCCTCCCTCCTGCTCCTCCCCCCTCCTGCTCCTCCGCCCCCGCGCCCCAGACGGAAGCAAAGGATCCAGCCTGCGCCTCGCGGCTGCGCTTGGTGGCGTGCCATTCTGAGGGGCGCTGGGGGTGCGGGGGCGAAGCCCGCGGCAGGTTGCGGGCCTCGTCGTTTCTGCACGAACGAAATGGGTACGGAAAGAATGGGTACAATGCCCAACAGCAGTTCCTGTTCATTCCCTACCTAGGCTCTGCCTGGAAGGGTTCTTACTGTGTTCTCTTAAAGGGCCGGGCAGTGGGAACCGGCCCGGGCGGTTCCCCCGGTATCCGCCCCGTGGTTTCCCCAGTGACGTCCCCTTAGCTTAGCGTTGCTTATCTCATCTTAGCTTAGCTTATTTCATCTCAGCTTAGTTTAGTTTCATCTTAGCTCAGGTTTATCTTGGGCTACACGTAAGAGTGACCCTTGGCCAGAGTGACCTTTAGTGTTGGCCCTAATGAGGTCGGACAGATTTTCTTGAGGAGTGCGCTCGGCCTCGTGTCGGCGCACGCTGCGCCAGTCTGCGATCGCATCAGAGCGCGCTTGATTCAGGGTGCGCCCCTCGCAATCGATCGCAACGCATGCACGGCGTGTTCTGCCGCATGCTTCGTTTGGCGAGGGGGGGCCCAGTCGAGCGGGCGACGTGCTCTCCGCTTTGGGACTGGCCCCAAATCGTCCTGGAATAACTTTGACTAACTTTGACTAACTTTGAATAACTTTAAATAACTTTTCGCATTCCGCGCTTCACAACTCATTTCTTTACTATTGAAAGTTATTTGCGGCCGCGGGGGGGGCCAAGTTTCGGCCTGGTTTCGGCCTTGACGCCGGGCCCGGTCAGACGTTATCGCGATGCGGCCCGGCAGTGCCAGAACATTCCGCGGTGGCGCCCGATTACGTCTTGCTTCGCAGAGCCCTCGGGCGGGCGTTCTGGGGCGCCCGGAACGACTTGGCGGAAGTCCGCGATTGCCTGCTGGCGCTAGGGTTCTATCGAAGCGCGCCCCACCGATCGTTGATGCAATCCGACGGCCTAGGCTTGCGCGGTTGCTCCAGGCCCCCACGGGCCCCCCGATGGCCGCGCACCAAAGGGCACTCTTGCCTAGGGTCACTCTTACGTGTCGCCATCTCAGCTTCGCCGAGCTTTAGCATAGCAGAGCACAGCATAGCATAGCAGAGCGTAGCACAGCATAGCGCAGCACAGCATAACATAGCATAACATAGCATAGCGCAGCATAGCATAGCATAGCATAGGGCAGCACAGCACAGCACAACATAGCACCGCGCAGCATAGCATAGCATAGCATAACAGAGCATATCACAGCACAGCAACAAAGCAAAGGCAACGCAACAGCAGCGTCAGCAAAGCAAACACAAGCAACGCAAAGCAAAGCAAAGCAAAAACAACAGCAAAGCAAAGGAAAGGCAACCGACAAGCAATGTGCGACAGATGCCGAGCTAGCCTCGACTAGATCTTAGCTTCGCTTAGCATAGCTTAGCTTAGCATAGCGTAGCGCTGCATTATTATAGCATATCGCATCATAACACAGCCACTCACATCATAACATAGCCTGGCGCAACATAGCGTAACACAGCATATCATAGCACATCATATCATAGCATCTCATATCCTAACATAGCATAGCGCAGCTTAGCATAGCACATCACATCATATCATATCATATCTTTGCATAACACAGCGCATCATGTCATATCATAGCCTGGCATATCATATCACAGCATACCATAGCATATCATAGCATCGCATCGCATAGCGCAGCACAATCATAGCATATCATATCATACCCTAGCACAGCATATCATGCCATAGCATAGCATGTCATAGCACATCATAGCAACTGATGCTGCTTTCCTGGGGGCTCCAACTTCTAGGTAGGGTCGCACTGGGGTAATTTTGAACAGGGCTCGCTGTCCGCGCTCCGAGGCCTGTGTCCATTCGAGATAGAAGGCCGCCTGCCCAATAGCGGCCGCTGTTGGTTTGGGACAACATTTGTCGCTGGGCCTTGTGCCCATTTTTTCCGTACCCATTTCGGGCGTCCAAATCGTTGCCATAGCGGCAGCGCGCTGCAGGGAGGAGCAGCGCGTGGAGGAGAGTGGCCAGCCCTCGGGTAGCTGCGGCCTGCCAGGCGAGCCCACGCAAGGGAGGCTCGAGTGGTGCGCCCAAGAGGCTGGGCACGCCGATCCCCTGGCAGGACGAGGTGCGGGAGATGGCGTGCGCGACGGGGTGCTGTCTGGCTGCGGCGTGGGCCTGGCGGCCCTGCCGGGGGGGTGCCCGTTGTGCCCGCGGTGCGCGTCGGCCGCTCGGCGGGCGGGCCGCTGGGAGCCACGGTGGGGTGGCGTCGGCTGCTGCGGGTGCCTCTGCGTGGCCCTCGGCGCGGCGCAGCGCGAACCGCGGGATGGACGCTTGCAGCGGCGCCCAAGTGGCCAGCTGTAGAGTCACCGTGGGCGGGGTCCACTTCCGGGGGGCCGTGGTGGCGCTCGTCGGAGGTCCTCTCGGGAATGCTCAGCAGTAGCTCCGAGGTGGTGCTCCAGGAGTCGGCGGGTGAGCTATCGGTTGGCTTGTGTGCTCCCTTGGAGGGGGTCTGGAGGTTGCGCAGCAGTTGCAGCGTGTGACTGGAAAGGCGGAGGCGGCTCGTGGTGGCTGCGATTGGCCTGCTGGTCTGGTCTGGTCGGGGTGTGTCATGGCGGCTGGTGCTCCGTGGGGGCGCGCATTGGTGTGTGGGTAGCAGACGGTTGTCGATCGTCGTCGTCAGAGGTCGGTCAGTCGACGGTCGTCGACGGTCGGTCGCTCTGGCGGTCGGAGGACGGTCGTCGGCGCTCTTCGTGGGGTAGCGGACGGCCGCCAGACGGCCAGCGGCTGGTTGTCATTCGGATCGGCGTCGTCTGGCTTGTCGTTTGACGGTCGGCGGACGGTCTTCGGACGCCGTGGTCCGTGGGGTCCGCTGGTATTCAGCGGATCATCGATCAAGCGATTGGAGGGGACGTGCGCGGGCCGGATGGCCCCCATGGCTGATGGTGCAACGTGGGCCTGGTGGCCTCCGTGGCAGATGTCCCTGAGAGTCGGCGGACGCTCACGCGGAGGGTCACTACGGACTGCGTCATGGGTGACATCACGAAGAAAGGCTGGAGTGCTGGCCTGGTGGCAACCCTGAGCGGTTCCAGTGTGGGTCTTCGGACACGCGGCGGGGTCTCGATGAACTACGGCGGATGGATTGGCTGCAGCGTGGGCCTGGTGGCCCACGTGGCCGGTTCCCCTGGGAGGCCGCGGACGGTCGGGATGACGTTCGGCGGTCGTCGTCGTCAGAGGTCGGGCAGTCGGCAGTCGGTCGTCGGCCGTCGCTCCGGCGGTCGGCGGGCTGTCGCCGGCGGTCGTCGGACGGTCATGGTCGCCCACGCGGAGCCTAATTAGCTGGAGTGTTGATCTGCTGGCAACTTTGAGGGGCGCCAGAGGGGGGTCGTCGAACGCTCGGTGGGAAGGTCACAGGGAGCCATGGCGGATGGACCGGCTGCAACGTGTGCCTGGTGGCTCACGGGGCTGGTGTCCCTGCGAGTCGCCGGACGCTCACACCGAGGGTCACTACGGATCGCGTTATGCGTGAGACCACGGAGAACGGCTGGAGTTGTGGCCTGGTTGAAATACTGAGCGGCTGCATTGGCCGTCGTCGCATTTTCGGACGTAAGGGCGTAGTGAACCGCGGGTGGTGGTCTGTCTGCAGTGTAGGCCTGGTGGAAAGAAGGAGGGAGGGAGAGGGGGAGAAAGAGAGAGAGAGAGAGGTGGGGGAGAAATAGAGACAGAGAGAGAAATAGAGAGAGAGAGAGAGAAAGAGAGAGTGAGAGAGAACGAGAGAGAGAGAGAGAGAAAGAGAGCGAGAGGAAAGAGAGAGAGAGAGAGTGATCACACCAAACTGTCGTAACACACAGATATGGCAAACAAACAAGCACACAGACAACTAGAGTGTGTGAGAGAAGAACAAATAAAGAAATACATAGAGAGAAAAACAAGGGAGAAGGAGAGACAGCGAGAGACATAGAGACAGAGAGAAAAATGGCGCGATGCGCCCACGTCATCGCCGCCGACTTCATCGTCGTCGCCGCTGCTGCCGCCGCCGCCGCCTCCTACGCCGTCGTCGTCGTCGTCGTCGTTGTCGTCGTCGTCGCCGTCGTCGTCGTCGTCGTCGCCGCCGTCGTTGTCGTCGTCGTCGCCGTCGTCGTCGTCGTCGTCGTCGTCGTCGTCGTCGCCGTCGTCGCCGCCGTCGTCGTCGCCGTCGTCGCCGCCGTCGTCGTCGTCGCCTTCCGCGTCGTCGCCTTCCGGCGTCCGGCCGCCGCCGCATTCGCGGCGCCCCTCGCCGCAGGCCGCCGCCGCGCCTCTGGCCCGGCAGCCGTCGCCCGTGGCGGCCCGCGGCGAGCCCTGGCTATTTTTTTCTTTTTTTTTTGTTTTTTTTTTTTTCTTTTTATTTTCGATCTTTCCTTTCTTATTTCTTTTTTGTTTTTTTTTTTTTTTTTTTTTTTTTTTCTTTGTTTTTTTTTTCTTTTTTTTTCCTTTTTTTTTTGTCTCTTTTTGCTCTTTGTTTTTTTTTTTTATTCGCGGGGACGCCTTCCCCCTCCCCTCCCCCTGCCCCTCCCCCTCCCCCCCTTCTCCTCCTCCTGCTCCTCCTGCTCCTCCTCCTGCCTCCGCGTCCTCCGCCTCCTCCTCCTCCTCCTCCATTCCTCCTTCTCCCCCGCTCCTCCTCCTCTCCTCTCCTCCTCCCTTCCTCCTCCTCCTCCTCCCGCCTCCCCCTCCTCCCCCTCCTCCTCCTCCTCCTCTCCTCCCTCCCTCCTCCTCCTCCTCCTCCTCCTTTTCCTCCCCTCCCTCTCAGCCTCCCCCTGCCCATCTGTCCCCCCTCCTACTCTCCGTCTCCTCCCCCTCGCTTCTCCCCTTCACCCGCCCCCTCCCTCCTCCCTCTCCTCATCTTCCTCCCACCCCCTCCTCCCTCCGTCCTCCCCCTCCTCCTCCCTCTCCCCCGTCCACAATTGCACAATCTGAATGCTATTTTCTTCTCTCCCCCGAACGTAGAGTCCCCCCCCCTTTGCGTAGGGTTTTTCCGCACACGTTGCGCGCGAGTTTGGTTTCTTACGTGGTGTCTCACTTCGATCCCTCCGCATCCGACTTTTTACACCGAATTTGCGCGGCATGGCTTTTTCACATGGATTTTCCCATTAACTTGTTTACATTTTTTTCAAAACTGTGCTCGCTGCAGCGTGGGCCTCATTTTCGGATCGGCGCTGTGCTCCCGTTGTTCAGACAGGCGCTCTCGCCTCAGCGTGGGTCACTTCTCGGTCCCACCGGTCTCGCAGGCACCACAGGTCCTGCAGGTCCCGCAGGACCCACAAGTGTCGCAGGTCGCCTCACAGGTCCCACGGGTGTGACAGGCCCCACAGGTCCCACAAGTCCCGCAGGTGTCGCAGGTTTTGCATGCCCCACATGTTCAACAGGCTCGACAGGTTCCGCAGATCGCACAGGTCCCGCAGGTCTCGCCAGTGCCACGGGTCCAACAGGTCTCGCAGGTCCCACAGGTCCCACAGTTCCCACAGGTCCCACAGGTTCCCCAGGTCCCACAGGTCCCACAGGTGTCGCAGGTCTGACAGGCCCCACAGCCCACGGAAGCCCCGCAGGTCGCACAGGTCCCACAAGTTTCCCTTTTCCAGCTGCGCATGACACGATGGGGTCTTTTGTGGAGTTCCAGGTCGGGCATGACACGCATCCGCGGGTGACAGAAACAATCAGCGCAATGGGAAGGGATGGGAGGGAGGGATAGGATGTCAGATATGGCGCGAGCGCACCTAGCTTGTCCTCCCCCTCCTCTCCCCCCCCTCCCACTCTCCCTCCCCCTCCTCGCCCCCCCTCTCCCCCTCCTCATTCCAGCTTGCCCCTCCCTCTCGCCCTCCTCCTCTTCCTCCTCATCCTTTCTCCTCCTCCTCCTCCTCCTCCTCCTCTCTCCTAGTCCTCCTCCCCTCCCCCTCATCCTTCCTCCTCCTCCTCCTCCTGTTCCTCCTCCTCCTCCTCCTCCTCGTCCTCCTCCTCCCCGCCCCTCCACCCCCTCCCCTCCTCCTCTGCGCGGAGGCTCCCTCCCCCGCGACGGTGCCGCCGCCAGTGCGGCAGGAGGGCGCCGAGCAGCTCGGCGCCGCGGGCAGCCCGCCTGGCCGATCAGCGGCCGCGAGGGAGCCGGCCGCACCCGCGCGGCTGGAGGCCGCGCCGGCGCAGGCGCGCGGGCCGTTTTGTGACTCCAGGAAGCCACGGAGACCACCTCTGGGGGAGGAGGAGCAGGAGGAGGAGGAGGAGGAGGAGGAGGAGAAGGAGGAGGAGGAGGACGAGGAGGAGGAGGAGGAGGAGGAGGAGGAGGAGGAGGAGGAGGAGGAGGAAGAGGAGGCGGAGGAGTGACGGAGTCACAGATATTGGGACTATGTCAGTTACAGTTGAGGAGGCAATCGAGCCTTTCGTCTGGCCAGCTCGGCTTTGCTGTACGCCTTTGGCCTGACCCCTTTGGCGATGTTCCTTAAATAATTTTTACGATTACCCGTCGCCTGATGGGTGCATTCATTCGCCATCAACCCCGCTAGTTGCTGGGACGCGAATGACCCACAGGCTCCGCAGAACCAAATCCCCAACCCAGCGTGGAACTGAAGGGCGTGACTACAGATATGCACCCGACGTCCCTGGGGGGTTCGGAAACTGCACCGTCGATCGGAAACAGGTTAAAACATGGGGAATCTAACCAGTCCTGGAGCTTCGTCTGGGAGGCCGGCCCCCTACACTGCAAACACGAATTACCCTGTTCACCCAACCTGTGGAAACGAACATTTACACCTGCTAGGGGCAGGAGGTCTTGCTGGGTGCTGGCGAGCCCTCGGGTCATCTCTAGCTACGTGGTTCTGCACGTAGCGCCTCAACAGTGCTGAGGAGCAATCTCATGCGCACACAATGCGCCCATCTTCTCCGTCTCAAGCAGGCGGTGGCGGTCCGCCTCTGGAATGCGAGCCTCCTCCGTCGCCTGCCCCGCAAAGAGGTTCGCAGCTGCGTTGCCGTGAATCAAAAGCCTCGGAGCACGACCACGAAGGATATCCACCGTATCCTTACGTGAACATACGAAAAGAGCAGTGCATACCAGATTCCGACGCCTCCTGGGCAGCACGTCTATCTCATGCCGCAAGTCCACGTTCTCTCCCCTGGGATCTTTCCAAACACAAGTAGGCCTTCCACTGCAAACTCCTGAATCATCCGTGGTGTAGATCACATGTCCCGTGGCCCACTGGAGGGCCGTGAGTAGACCGAACAGCTCGCCCCTGGGAACCGACTGCACTTCGCCAGGGAGGCCCCCTCCCCCCCCAGATCGCGCACGACATCCCCATGGGCTCCTGCAGCTCGGTGTAGACCGCCAGACTTCAAGTCCATAACAACTTCAACTGGTGTGTTTCTGAGGTGCTGGCAGCGTACCCATGGGGCGGGCAGGGCAGGAGCCCACGTAGCCAGAAGCACGCATCGAATTCTTGTCGGGTGAAAGCTTGCGGCACGTGTTCTGCTGAACGCTTGTCAATCTCATGATCCTCGTGTCCTTCACAAGTCCAGCAACGATGAACATGTGCCTCGGGCTCCCGTCTGCAATGCGCACATGGGTATCTAAGACTTGCTTTTAGCTTGCCGACCTGCGCGCCCGTGGAAATGCCGCCCCAGCCGCCGCAGCCAGTAACAGCCCTGCCAGACGTGCCTCGCCTCGTCAGGTCCTTCTCGCAGTTGCCGAATCAGCGCCCTGAGCGATACGTCCTGATGCCTTCCCCGTCGGCATGACTAGCAGCCAATCTCCATTGCCGTCTCATGATGGTCTGCTCGAATTCGCGAACGAAGCAGGGTGGCACATCCAGCTCAGGTACCCTTTCTTGGGGATCCAAACATGCGTTTGTCTATCGAACCAGTCTCCAGCGCGAAGAGGCTTCAACGGCAAGATGCGCATGCCACATAATACCTCCTGGAGGCGGTGTGGACATGCATTGGGTTATTCAGAGATGATGGCTGTTGGCCGAGAGGCGGCTTGGACAAAGGGTATATACACCCATCGAATCGGATGGCGAATGGGCGACGTTGATCTGCCAAATATGCCGGGCCGTGGTGTCCGTCCGTGGCACCTCCCACTGCGCTGGCTGGGCCCGTGGGCCCCCATCCCTCCTGCAGCATGCAGCAGATGACCGCACTCTGCGGTCCGCGCACATGACGGCTCCGAAGATGTAAAGGTATACATATACAGATATGTGTATATATATATATATATACATATATATATATATATATATATATATATATATAACTTCCTCGAAGGACCTTCGCGCGTGAAGCAAACCATCATTCCTTCCCCACTCCTGCGCACAAGCGTGCAGGCGCATCGGGCGAACGCGGTGTCAGCAGGCACCAAGGATATTGGAACAATGAACCGGTCGCCCGTCCAGGCCTCGAGGTCCCCCCTGCGGAAGCAAGCGATGATTTTCTGCTTTGCCGGGGAGGGTCCGGAACAAGGCGCATGGCGCGAAGCGCCAATGCAATCTTGTGTGTATATATACACATATTGCAACTCGTGATCCAGAGGCTGCCAAGACTGCTGGATCCCTGCTCGCAAAAATGGTTGTGAGATCCAGGTCAGCAGCCAAAATTGAATGCATTCCCTCGGCATGCGCATTCCTGGGTCACGACCAGGAGCAACCAGGCCCAGAATAATCGTAGCACGTCGCCCCGTGAGATTTGGGGCTGCTGCATCGCACAAGAAAGCTCTGCCTCTGCTGGAAACTCCTGCCAAAGACCCCGTGGAGTTGGTGGCCATGCGGCCCTGCTGCCAGTGCGACCTGCTGCTCAAGCCGTGCTGTCAGGCGGTGCCGCCAAGCTGTCCTGGCGGGCGTAGCGTACAACTTTGGTGTGCATCTTGATGTGCTTGCTGAACCTGGCTGTCCTGCAGGCGCGCG